CTGCCACAAAAGCCCAATAGCACTGGCATTTCCATTAGCAGTCACAGCTTTAGAGGTTTCAGGTGCCAAGTGTTTTGTTCCATTGGGCAGGCGTGTTTGGGCTATTTCTCCACAGTGTATTACTTTCTAATTTTCAAAAAATAGTTTTGTTCTTTTTTCCCCTCTCTATCACCTATGGCTGGCTGGGGAGATTTATACATTGCTGTAATTACTTGACGGGAGACTGTTAAGGAATAGGAGGAGTCTGTCATCCTGGGAGCGGTGACTGAGGGCTCCCTAGCAATGTGTCTTATATTCTCTGTTCATCTACGAAACAAAACAGGTCTCTGGTCAAGGTCCGCCCCCGCCCAAGGTGAAGAGGCCGTGTACTATCAAATCATGAAGTTTCCATTCATGGTTGATCGCAAAATGTCTGCAGAGTGAGTCTCCAAGTACATTCTGTGTCCTGGCAAGACAGGCTATAGACAAGAAGATCTGAGGATTGATGCACCAATTCCACAGATTAACTGCCTCTGTGCAGCCGATCTCACTCCTCTCCGCTGGTGGACATAGATGACATCTTCACCAAACAGGGGATACCAACCAGAGACTATTCACCTCACGGACGTCTGAGGTGATGGAACCGTGCGAACGGAAGAAAGGATTGGCAAGTCTCTCTTGCAACTTAGGGTTCCAGGAGGTTATGTGCACCCTGGATAACTGAGAAGACCGGTAATGTTGGGTAGATGACTGGACTGGAATTTTCATTTCAGGGCAGGACTGTAGGTGCCCAACGAGTAAAGAGACTGTAGGTGCCCAACGAGTAAAGGACCTGGAGTCCTTTAGCATATCCAGCGATTCATCTGTCTTATGGTTAAGTGCTCTGTATCTCCCTAGGAAAACCAAAAGAATCAGGCCAAGACTCCCCACACGTGACTATAGCCATAGCCAAAACTCTGAAGGAGGTATCTGCTGCATCTACTTGGAGGACAATTCTGACCACAAACTTCCTTTCATCAGTAAGTAGGGCCCTACCAAATTCATGGCCAGAAGGCTCAGACTTTGAAGTCTGGAGTACTCGACATAGTCCAGGACCTGCACATGGGTATGGGAGGGGATGGGTAAAAACCTGAACGTCTCTCTCTAAAACAAGCACTGAAACTATTAATTATCAGAACTAAGGTAAAAATAGAATTGGTAAAATCACAATAAAACTCATAAAAGTATGTATAATTGTCTTTTTAGGCAGAGGCTAAACCTTTACAATTTCGAACTCAGACCAGGTGGCAGCGAGAAGGAACTCGAGATGAAGTCAGTCCACTCTGCCCTTTCTTACCTTGGATGGGAGCATGAGACAAACCAGGGCACATGAATGGGCCAACAGACACTACTTTCAAATTCTCCAACCTTGGAAGCATGGTCACAAATGCATCACCCTCAGTGGAATATAATATGAACCATCATTTGAAGAAAAATAAGTTATAACCCAATTGGTGACTGACTTTGCAACCTTAATAACCATTTAAACATTCAGCAATTTTGTCAATTTTAAAAGAAGCAAATTGGAAAAGCAGAAATATCATGCAACATCATATTAACACCCCCGTGGGACATCAGCAGAGTTGGAATCATCAGGTTCTCCCTCACAGAACTAATGGAGTAACCGATAGCAGTAGTAGGTTTTTAACCTTCTGTGTGGACCAGCAATAGAGAGACTAAGGCCACTTTGCCAGTGGCCTTCACAGATATTTGTAACAGAGAAAAGATGAGGCTCAGGGATCTTGGGTTCCATTTCATGCATTGGAGGGAGCATTCTCTAGTGGCAGAAATTCTTCCTTCCTACCACCTACAACCTCTCTCTGTCCCTGTCTCAGTCTCATCTCTTCCCCACCCCTAGCGCCTGATTCCAATCCTATTCTCTCACCGACACAGTTCCAATTTCCACTCCTTGGGTTTCTCATCCTCATTCCCCGTTTCTTCACCCCCATCTGCCACTGGCTCCTTGCCTAGCCACTTCCAGGATCCCCATGAATTTCCAGTCCAGTGTCCCTCTCTCCCCCTCCACCAGCCTCCAATCCCAGCCACCTCCCCCCCTCAGTTCCACAGGGACTGGTTCCTGCCCCCCTCTCCATTCAATTCAGGCAGGTGCTCTTCCACATGACCCAGCAGGAAACAGCCCCCCTGCTCTGAGACCCAGTTCTGGTGTCTGGCGCCATTCCCTGCAAATCGGTGCACCAGGCCAGAAAGTCCTACTGTGCTCCAGTAGCCTGCAGCTGGAGCATATTCAGTGGCTCCATGGTGGTGATGGCACATGCACACTCTGGGCACAGGCAGAAGCTGCGCAGGTGCTCTTCCACATGACCCAGCAGGAAACAGCCCCCCTGCTCTGAGACCCAGTTCTGGTGTCTGGCGCCATTCCCTGCAAATCGGTGCACCAGGCCAGAAAGTCCTACTGTGCTCCAGTAGCCTGCAGCTGGAGCATATTCAGTGGCTCCATGGTGGTGATGGCACATGCACACTCTGGGCACAGGCAGAAGCTGCGCTCCGTGAGAGCGGCACTGTGGGAGATTTAACTGCTAAAAACAAACAAGATGTTGCCCACATGGGCACATGCACCTCCACGTGGGCACATGCTATGTTAGCTCAGATTAGGGGTAAAAAGCACGTGGCACCATAGCCAAAACCTAATGAAGATCCCAATCAATTCACTACCTCTCACTGTGCCAGTGACTCCATCTGAAAGATGTGGTTTTTGGCTTTACAGCGAATACCCAATGCTTGTTCATCCGAAGTGCTCACAGCACTGAAGACAAGCGAGTAAACCTGGCTACCCTCGTTTTACAGTCGACTCCTTTAGTGTAACAACCGCTCTCCTGAAACAGTCTCCTGTCTCTTCAGATGAAGCCTGGCAATTGTCAGCTAAACACAATTTTCCAAACCAAAGTCACGGTGGTATGGCTAACATAGCACTGTCTTACAGGGACTGGCTGGAACACTGACTGCCTCCCACAGTTAGTTAAAAGATCCCCTTGTTGCTACAGGACAAAAGCAAAGCAACAACCACAAAACCGTGATGCTTGCTTGCTGCTCTCTGTGATATAAAGACAGCATCCATGTTTTATCACTGCGCCTTCTGTTTGTCTTTGTAATACCAGGGGCTCACTTCCCTTTTTTCCCTGGGGGACTTCAGAAATCTTTGGGTAACAGAAAGGTGACATTCCTGAAGAAGGAAACTAATTCTTTAGCTTTCCCAGGCTCAGATGAGGAAGTTGCATCCTCACCCCGGACTGGGAACTGAAAGAACAGTGGCTCAGGGTTAATCTCCGGCAACAGCCATGTTCCAGCTTTCCAAAGACTTCCACTGTCCCCCAGGAGAAGAGGGAAGCCCAGGACACATATTCCTCAGGCTGGAAAAAAAATCAAACATAAAAACCCCAGAAATGTTCCCATCAAATAAAAAAAAAGTTGGTGCTATCTTTATACATCAGTCAGGAGCAATACATATCAAACAAGGTTTTTGTTTGACATTCATAGTTTAAATGCA